GCCAAGCAACTTTCCGACTCTAAGCACGAGAATGCAGCTAAGATTTCATCTCGAGAAGAATTTCGCGATTCTAGAGCACGATTAATGCAATGCGGGATCGAAATACCTCGATCCTGTGCTGCCGCGTGAAAACCTTGACGCAGCTCCGGCGCCGGGCGACAAGCTCTCTGTGAGACATCGGGCGGCAGCGCACGACGACCTGGACGCGCTCCCGGCCGCTGGAGGGAGCGTCCGCCGTCGCCATCGCATCCTTGCGCAAACCCTAGCTCCAAGAAAACAAAACCCTAGAATCAAAATTCCGTGTCATGTGAAATCTAACGGTCGCGGATCCACGGTCACATGGATGGAGGAACACGCAGCATGGGCCTGGACACCATAACCTCTTGCGGGAACAAAATATTTGGCCGTCTCTGCGAGCTCTGGCTTTGTTGCCTCTTCGTCAAGGTAATTTTAATCACTGTCTTCCTTGTCCCAAGACAGCACCATGGTCAGAGCTTATAAAAAGCAAAGAAATCGATTGACACTATCTCTGCAAGCTCTCAGCTCTAAGGTTTTAAATCGCCCTTGTCTTCTTGTCTCAATACAGGCACCCAGTTTTTCTAAGGAGTGAGAGAGAAAGAGCTCGACCAAGTGAAGAAAATCCTCCTTTAAGCTTAATCCATGGAAGCATGGAGGATATAAAGCTAGCTCTGGAGCTCCCAGAGCTTGAGGGCAGAAGCGTCATAGAAGAGATGGGTGTGTGCTTGTCAAAGGCATCCACGAGAGCTTCTTCTTCCTCTTGGATTTGTAGCGATGTCCACTACATGAGCGGGGTTTTCAGCGAGGAGGAATCGTCTCAAGAGAGCGCCGCGCGAGCCTCCACCGATAGCTGCGACTCGTCCATCTCCAGGCTCAAGCACTTTTGCCTCTGTGGTCCACCTTTGATCTCCAACTCGGTGCTGGAAAATGCGAGCTTGATGGCGCATATGGAGCAGAAATCTCTGCGAGAGACGGCGATGATCCGGCTCAAGAAGCTGTCGCTGATGCCAGTGGGAAGAATCGATGACGAAGCTGGCGTCCCGGGGCCGCAGAATTCACCAGTCTCGACCTGGCAGCATCCGATCATCGTCGATGTGAGTGAAGTGATCGATCCATCGCCGGAGGAGCAACCGATCCAGCTGGTTGCCCAGGAAAATGTACTTGGAGTCTTTGGCGGCTTCCACTCCTCAAGTCGATTGCTAGATCTCAGCAGCAGCCAGGGATCGTCGCAAGGAGCGTTTGGGTCGCCCCTCTCGGTAGAAATCCCGCTTCTCGATCCGGCATTCTCTGGCGATTTCGATGACCACGCCTCCGATTCTAGCTCAGATCTCTTCGAGCTGGAAAGCCTGGTGGCAACGTCGACGACGACGACTCCGACTCTTACCTCGGCGCGATCTTCGATCGATCCGGACGAAGCCTCGAAGGAAGAGAGATCTACGCAAGAAATGGGAGCTTTGGATGGGCTAGCAGCAGCGGATGGGCCTAGAACATACCTCATTGTTTACTCCATCTCCGGGAAGCGCGCAAAAGTGTCGTCTTCATCCTCCTGGAAGACTGTGTAGCATAGTGACAATTACTCGATCCGCCACGTGGCGACAATGTCAAAGGATATTCCCTCGGCATCCAACGGCTAGGGTTTTTCATATTTGTGCCGGGGAAGGAACGAGGGTTTGTGCTGGATTAGGGCTTTGCGCAGCGGCAAGATCCAGCTCCTCCGGCATGGCGATGGCTGCGCGCGCGTCGCATTGTTCCATTTGACAGGTTGCTTGGATTTCTTCTTGGGAATAGTGGGATTTTTTCTCGATTTGGGAGAGGAACAGTGGAATGTAGGGTGCGATCACAAGCAAAGGAGCTAGAACTCGAGCGATGAGCACTTCCAGGTTTATTAAATGTGTCACTGTGGGAGATGGGGCCGTCGGCAAAACATGCATGCTAATTTCTTACACAAGCAACACTTTTCCTACTGTGAGATTTTTTCTTCTCTTTAGATGGGAATTCTAACCGTGAATGTCTGATTCCAGGACTACGTGCCTACAGTCTTTGATAACTTTAGTGCCAATGTTGTCGTGGATGGCAACACTGTGAATTTGGGTCTCTGGGACACCGCTGGTACGTTTAGCTGGAAAAACTCGGCTTGTTCTAACGCAAACGCATGCTTGCTTTTTGTTTCTCGTAAATCTCGCAGGCCAGGAAGACTATAACAGGCTGCGTCCATTGAGTTACCGAGGAGCCGATGTTTTCCTTCTAGCTTTCTCACTTATAAGCCGAGCTAGCTATGAAAACATTTCCAAGAAGGTTTCTTTGCGCTCGACTTAAAACTTGAAACCTCTTGCTTACGCCATGTTCTACATTGCATTGCAGTGGATTCCAGAGCTGAAACACTACGCCCCGACGGTGCCTGTCATTCTCGTTGGCACGAAGCTAGGTGAGTCCTTGATTTGATTCACCGTTTGCCAATGCTGGTTCTTTTCAACTCCAGACTTGCGAGATGATAAGCAGTTTTTTGCCGATCATCCGGGAGCGACGCCTATCACCACTGTCCAGGTACAAAAAATATGTTTTTGTTCGTTCTTTCTAATGCCCCGAGTCATATTCGTGTTTTCCAGGGCGAAGAACTGAGGAAGCAAATCGGTGCTGCTGCCTACATCGAGTGTAGCTCGAAAACCCAGCAGGTCCGTCTTGTGACAAAGGAGTGAAGCTTTTTGCTGCTGTGTTGTTTGTTCTAAACCTCTTCCAAAATTCTTTGTGCTCCAGAATGTAAAGGCAGTGTTTGATGCTGCGATCAAGGTGGTCCTCCAACCTCCAAAGCAGAAGAAAAAAAAGAAGAAGCAAAAGGCCTGTACGATACTCTAGAGCGGAGTTGCGGAGTTTTTTAGATGGATCGCCACAGAGAACATCAACCGGTTCCATCGATTTAACGTTACCAACATATCACACAGATTGGAAAGAAAGAAAATTTCTTATTGCTACTAGCATTTAGTACGTTAAAAAGGATATGCCAAGTGTAAGCTAATTTTTAAGAAGAAAACCCACCCTCAATAGTGGGGATCTTTGTTAGTTATTGTGGGAGGGAAGACAAGGAGACAGGCAGTAGGAGCTAGGGCAACGAGAAATTTCCCCATTCTCAAGTGGAACGCTATGGCGGATTCTTGCGAGGGCTCGGTGCTGGAAGAGGATATCGATGACGATTACAATCCCACAGGCGAAGGCGAAGGTGAGATCGATGAAATTTTCGCCGGTTTTCTTTCTTCCTTCCGTAGAGATCGTTGAGTTGGAGCTCGAGGCCTTCTTAGAATTGGTAGGCGAGGATTGAAAGAGTCTTTTGTAGTGGAATGGAGGCCGTTTTGTGAGGGAAAAAGAGAGAATAGTTAAAACAATGCCGAGGGCTGTTTGGAATCCGTAAGTTTTTTTGTTTACAGCCTTTGTTCTAAGTTTGCTAGACTACTCAGACCAGCGCACGAACTTGTACAGGGAATGCGCTCACACTATAATCAGGTAGCCTTGCTTTGTTCTTCTGCTTGTAAATAGCGGCACTGCTTGTGTAGAAACTGAAACTTCAACACAGGCGATTTCATTGCTTCCGAGGATGTTTCCACCAAAGCGTTTGCGTAAGAAAGGTTTTGTTGTGTATTTCCTAAGAATGCTGCTTAAACTTGGCAGAACCAGTCAGCCCGAGAGCTCGAGCTGATATTGGACGCCTTCCAAGTCCCAGTAAGATTAGTTTCTTGTCCAGTGTCATGTATTTCTCTCTTTTCTTTGCAGCCGCACCCGTAGAGCAAGGAAGCACTCAGGGCTCAATGGTGAAGTGGAAGTCTAGCGAAGGAAAAGATAGCCAGGGTGGCCTGCAATACAACGTACCGCAGCCGAGAGGTGATGGGGATGAAGCGGAGCAAAAGAAGGGCCAAAGATCGATGCTGAGTAGCTTACGAACAATGGAGCAACCTCGACTTTCTCCAAATTACACGTCCATGCAAACGGAGTTGCTGGAGAAGGTAAAGAAGGACCTCGAGGAGGAAGGCTGCAATTTGATGGAACAGAGGCGAAGGGATGTCATTGAAGAGGTCGAAAGGCAAATAGATGAGGAGAGGAAGAGGCTGCAAGAGATACAGAACTCGAAGCTTCAAGAAGATCTGGAGCTCGAGTATAAACTTCTCGAGCAGAAGGAGCTGGAGAGGAAGCGTGCTTGGGAGGAGAGGCTCAAACAGGAAGAAGAGGAGAGCGCAAAGATGGCCAAAGATCTTGCAGAGCGGAGGAAAAAGACAGAGGAGGATCTTACAAAGGTGTTGGAGCTGGAGACGAAGAGCTTCGAGCTGGAAAGCTTGCAGCGGCTGAACTCTTTCAGAGCGGCTCTGGAGGACGAAGAGCTAAAGCTAATCGAATCGGAGAAAACAAAGACTTTGGCTCTCGTCGAGGACAAAGTTCTAGCAGAGGAGGAGCTCGTCGCGAAGGAGATGAAGAAGGACGCTCTTGGAAGGATGAAGCTACTGGCCCAGGCGCTGGAAACGGCCGTTTACGAAAGGGAACTGGAGGTGGCGAGACAGAGGGCGATGGAGCGGGTGGAATGGGAAAGAAAGGAGCTCCGGATGAAGATCGAGAGGGAAGTGGACGAGGAAGTGGCCAGTTTCAAGGAAGATCTTGTGAAGGAGAGGAGGGAGCGAATGCTACAGCAGGTTTGCAGGAGGATTTGCGAAGAACACAGGCTCCATTACGAGGTAATCTCATTCCCGATCGAAGGAAGTTCTAACTCCAAGCAGGCTTTGTCGCGAGGAAACTTTGGTGTCCCGGACAAAGCGTTCATGGCTGCGAGGTTCTGAAAAGTCTCCAAAAGTTTTCCAGCTCCAATAAAGCAGCCATTAGAACGCATGATCGATCGAAAGCTGCAAGTAGACGAGCGAGCGAGTAAAACTTCCGTGATCGTGTGTCAACACGAGTTTAACTGTTGGTAAAAGTTCTCGGCAGTAAACGTAGATAATTTATAAAGGGCGGGCAGTGTGAACGGAGTTAATGGCTGGGAATGAGCTTGGTTTTCCGGGGAGGACGCTAAACCCTTATTCCTAGCAGTATTGTTTTTGCGGCCGATAAACTGGGCTAGGTGGGAGAAGGGCTTTGATTTTATTTGTGGAGCGCGACGACGGCGGAGGAGTGATTTCTTCGGCGCTGTTGCTCCAGCGCGCGAGCACGACGGCGGCAGCTGCGAATTCCTTCCCGGCGCGCAGGAAATCGCGATGGAGGAGGCGTCTTGACCTAATTCGAGGTGCGGCATTGTTAGGGTTTTTGGGATTGATGGAGAGCTCCCAGGCAGCAGGCGCTTCCGCGTTTTAGGCCTCCAGGAAGAAGAAGCTCGAATGTGCAATTCGAACATCTCAGGCTAGGGATTTATGGGGGCTGCCTGCCCTCTGGGCGGTTACTTGGGAGCCCTTTTTTT